CCTATTTCCCTCAAATTTTGGAAGAAAAACCACCAAAAAAACCCATGCACAACAAATTGCAGATACTGCATGTGTGTGTGTTTTTAAAAGGAAAAAGGTAACTAGTTGCATCGTACTTTTCAGTACGACTATATTGAGCAAACAGGTCAGGTAAAGAAGCTCCTCTTGCCTGTTTAAATAACTGTTTTGGACAGAATTCTGAAACAAAGTTGCTGAGAAGTAGGCCTCCTCCCCTGCAAAATGCAGAACCCTGTGGATGTCTTTAACTCCGCAATAAATACACTCACCGCTGGACTACAGAACTGCTTTCTTTGGCCCCGTGAGTCTTGTGCTCTTGGTTGCACAGTGGCTCGTACAGTGAAGGTAGTATGCTAACACAAAGCCACTGCTGCTGAGGTAAAAACAATCCTTGCTCAAGGATTATACTTATGTTTAAAATATAGAGATACTTCTAGATTTGGTAATCTGTTTCATATTATAAATTCCTGTGACATGCTTTATGGTAGATTGGTGTTGCACTGATTTGTACAGATGATCAGTTGATGCCACCTGTTCCTGATGATCATTTGAGGCTCAGTGACATTATGCTAATGCTGACTAACGAATCCTAAGAAATGGAAATGAATCTGCTTGGGGAGGGGGGTGGAACAAGCCAGTTAAGTCTTCTACATTTAAAAACTAAAACACACTCAAGACACATGGTACTTTTTCACCGTTCTTTGCAGTGTTTTCTGTTTGTTTAGTTTCATAATGCTTACTCTTTGTCCTTCAGAACATAGGCAATGTGACCAGTTTTTCTCCTTTTCTCTGCATTCATCTTTCTATGCTGACATAGAGATTTAGCCTTAGGAAAGGGTCTGTCAGGAATGGGGATGGTTTTATTTTGCTGGGAATGTTAGCTTTGTGGTACCCAAGAAAAAGGTGAGAAAACACCCTGGAAATCCGGATACTCTTCAAAGGTCTCTTGCTACTATTAGCCAGTTGTGAAATAAATGTGCTGGGGTTTTCTCTCAATTGTCTAGCAGATGAGGTTGATGCTGGTGACAGAGCAGTCCATCTGCATATGAAGGTACCTGTCTTGCTCTAATGTGGCATCTTTGTAGTGAAAGTGTGAATTCTTCTGATGGCGGCCAGGAAGTAAATCCTGCTAGAATGATGAGAGAGGAGCAGAGGAGAACATTTCTAACACCACTTTTGTTTGTATTAAAACACAGTTTAAAATGACAATAGAGAAGTGCTTTAAAGAGCAGCGTTTTTTCTACCTTGCTGTTGACTTAGTTATGTGTCAAAGAGCAAGGAATTATAACAATTCTGACTGGGAAGCTGCTGCTGTTTCTTTTGAGGTATGTGTTAGCTCTGCAGTTCTGTCAGGCAAAAGGAGTTAATGCATTAGAGTTACTGGTTTCTGTCATTAGAATGTGCATGGCTCTTGGTAGTTTGTTAAACGGAAGGATTTGCTGTTTCCATTTCAGCTTGTGTACTGGTAGTTTAGGAAAAAAAAAGAAAACCGCAGTGGGACAAAAATGTGACACTTTCAAAGTTTGTAAACTTCAGAATGTACTCGTATTCCTATTCTTTGTACCACATTCAACAGCATTATTTGCAGTATTATATCTGCCTGCCTAAGGATGGGCCCTTCTTTTCATGGGCCTAGTGAAGTTTAAAGCTAAAAGTCAACGTATTGTGTACCTGAATTTAACTTGTGCTGTGTTGTAAATATTTTATTGTGTATTTTTAAAAACTCACCCTTCTGGGTATCGTGTTCTATTCATGCTTGTTTCTAAGTGCATCGTAAAGGTATCAATGACATGAAACATCATTAAGTTCCTGATTTATTGCACCTGACAGGCTTAGTGATACTTTGAACTTCACCTTGGTAAAGAAAAAGATTTTATCCAGATCTTGTATTGTGAAATTATTTTACTTGAAATAAATCATTTTTATTGAGAAGTGTTAGAGGAAGATCGAAAACAAAACCAGAATAAGATACCTTGCTTTTAGGTCACCACACTTCCAGAAATATCGATGTTGCATACTGAGACAGACTCTAATGGATCTTCTCTTCCCAAATCAGGGAGTTCATGCCGAGTGAACCAGCACATCTGCTAATATTAAACTATGTGTTGTGTCATCTGCAGTCAAATGGAAGTGGGATAACACTAAAAAAAAAAAAAAGCTGGAAACTTTTGTTTTACATAAGCCCGTTTCTCTGAGCAGAGGCAACGAACCATAGATTTCCCTAACTACAGCTTTTTCTGTCTGGGCCATAGCTGCCATACCAGGCATCAGGGTAAGAAGAGAAGGGTGGTTTTTTTATGTTGGTGGAGTTTTCTGCTGTTACAGATTTGGCAGCCATCATGTTGTCAAATATTTCAGTATTTGAAAAACCAAATGTATTTATCAGCAAGCTGTCACACCAATAAATTTTAAAAAAACCTCAGTTTGAGCTGTGGGCAAGAAAGACTTCAGAAGTATAACACTGTCTAGAGAAGGTTTCTTTATAGGGCTGTCTAGGAGGTCACTGGCCAGGTCATCCCTAGCGCTCATTCACACCTCTGTGGTTGTGGTCTGTGAGCAGTGCTGCAATGATCGGTCTCCGGTAAAGGCACCTTAAGGTAGACCACAGAATGCGTGTCTTTAAGTTTGAATCTCATGTTGAAGAACACTCACTGTAAAAGAGAGCTTTTCACTGCTTTACAGATTAGTGCTGAATGCTCATGCAGACTTCACAGCGTAAGTCACACCCTTCTCGTCGTCGTCGTTAAAGCTATGGATTTGGGTGTTTTCCGTTATATTTACTGTCACTGAAATAATGAACTGTTGTATTCATTTAGCACAGTGCTAATGAAATTTAAGGATGATAAGTTAAAATGTTTGGAATTTAAGTAGTGTTCCAGTTATTAATTTTGAAGCCATCAAGTTGGAGATCTTGATGACTGTGGTGTGCGGTTTCTGGTCTTTTGCAAGTGAGGAATTTGCAGTCTTTCTGTGTGGTTCTGTCTCTGCCACTCTCTATGCTGGTGTTATTTGCATAGACCATATGGAGGTGCTTTTAGCCAATACCTTATCACTAAGCTTTAGTTGTTTTCTTTCCTGACTCAGCTGGATTTTGAGAAGTAATTTAGTTTAGAATATTCCTGTAAAGATTAATGCCCATTAAGTTATTTGCTTATTTTAAAACAACTTGAGAATCTGCAGAGTATAAAAAGCTTGAGGTTTATAAACTGCCATATGCATTTCCAATAGCTCTGAAAGCTTTTTTCAAATTTTCTGTAAGCTAATTTGAACTTCATGACTATTCTGTTGTTGCTGTATAAAATGTGTAGACGTGTCTGCTAACCTGTTGATGATAACTATGATGGAAACATCACAGCTGTTTACATTATAATGCCAGCTTAAGATTAACTTCTTTTCTGCTCGCTTTCAAATTGTTTGCATAACCCTGGTCACTGCTAGATTTAATCTCCACTGTATTTTTAAAAATGCCCTTGTCTTCTGAGAAAGTTGCTTAACTTACTGGACTAAAGGGTAGCTTTAGAGGTGTGTGATAGCAGAGTGCAGTGGCCGTTTCTGTGTCTTACCCCTTTGGTACTATCAAAACTACCCCTTACAGATGGCTGACTTCATGGCTCAGTGTGCCAGGCCTGGTTGATTATTTGGGTAGCTGTCAGTATGATTCCACACTTAGAAACTAGTTTACTTCTTTTTACATGAATAATGACACAGATACTAAAGAATGGTTGATGTTTTACATGGGAAGGGGGAGTCTTGTCTTTTATATATTGCACGTTAAATAAGGAAGAAAGCTACTGTCATGTATAACTTGTTCTGGAAAAGGTAAGTGTTGGATTTTCATGTTGCTGATTTATTTCTGTGCCAAAAGTTTTGGCTAATATGCCTCAGTAATGAAACTTTTAACTCTTATATTTCAGCAAAATTCCAGCCTTTCTGAATGTGGTGGATATTGCTGGCCTTGTGAAAGGAGCCCACACTGGCCAAGGCTTAGGAAATTCCTTCTTGTCTCATATTAACGCCTGTGATGGGATCTTTCATCTGATGCGTACGTAAATTTATTTATATGTTCTTTTTATAGCATAAGGACAGCATTGTTGTGCTCTAATTAAAAACTGTGAAGCAGATATCCATTACAGTTTTGACTTTTACCATTCAATTCAAAGTCCTCAGGTTTTGGGTTTTTCCAACCAAGAAAATCCCTATCCTCTGCTATGTAACGGTTTTGTCTTTCTTCATTAACATTGTCCTGAAGACTTAAAAAGGAACTGGGGTTTTGGAAGTCTGCAGTAATTGTCTGTTGTTTTCTTTTGCCAGCAGTGCACGGCAGTTGATTTATTTAGTTTGAAAAAGGAGGAGGAATGGAATGTGATAATAAAAGGCTGAAATGAAGGTAGAAAATGAAAATATGGAGTTAGTAGCAGCCTCTGGGATTCTGTTCCTCACAGGGCAAGCCTCACTTCTTTTCTTTTCCTGATTTCTGTGTGACTTATATTGAGTCTTGAACACACCCCCACCCCCCATCTCTGGGGCTTCTGAGCATTTCTCACTTAGACAGCAAGGCCTTTGTTTCTCTCTTTCATCACCTATTACCACAATACAGAACTGGCCTTCAGAGTCATGTTAACAGCACTTACAAACTTGGCACTTTAAAACCTGTTGAAAGCATAGCTTGGTTTGCATTATACTTTGAATGTTAAAAAAGGCTTCTGGTCTGAAAAGATTGAGCTTAATAATGCAGATCTTGTGCAGATCTGAGGAAACTGGACACCTTTGTTGCTGTCTTTTGGTTTGCCATTATTGTGCAGCAGGTGATGAAACAACAGAACAGAATAAACAGCTGAAAGTAGATATATTTTTTATTTGTTGATTGGAGCAAAATTTTTTTTTGTGGGTACGGTGTTTCTAAAAGGAAACAAAGGCATGGAATGTAACTATCTTATAGTAGGGATTAAGGTGCTTAGAACCCTTGTTCCCATGAGCTTGTTTTTTGAAGCATATTTATTCAGAGGAGTGAACTGATTTGCCTCTGCTATCTGCATGCTTGGTGGGTAGGTGAGTATGCTACCTCAGTCAAATGCATCAGGAATACCTAGGAACTGATTTGGTGCGGAGTGGTGGTACTCTGTTTTCAATCAAGTGAGACAAACTTTGTGGTGAAAAACATTGTTATTAGGCTTATGCTGTTGAAAAACAGGATGTGCTTTTGGGAGCATTGGCCTTTTTTAAGTCTTCTAGTACTTGGAAGCCATCTGTAACTGTTTGTATGTGTGTGGAGCATTACTTCTCCTTTGAAAACTTAGCCTTATTTCTATTTTAGATGTAGTACTGCTATTTCCTGTTAAAGTTGCTTGATGCGTGCTTTCAGTAGAACAGAAAACTGTGGGCTATTGATTGTAGCTAAGCAGTTAATAGCGTTTAAGACATTTTGAAAAGGTGAGCCTTACTGGGTTGAGTGAAGTCATTCCTTTGAACCTGTGCATCATTTTAGGAGCTAATTTGATATGTGAAGGCTGTACTAATCCATTGGTATATTGTAAATATTTGTAACTACCAAGAACCATTGCCACAGCATCCCTGGAAAAAAAGGGGGAGGTCAGTTTCCCCAAATCCATTGCTATCCTGGGTTTGTAATTACTGTCAATTGAGAGCAAGTGTAAACTCTTGATACTTGGTCTGTTTAGATACTTGTATTGTAAATGCTTGTGAAGGAACAGATTGATATATTAGCTAGTAGAGAAGATGCTTTTTAACCTATATGTTGAATAATCCTAAGCATTTGTTTCAGGTAGCTATAAGGGTTAACACAATTTGTATTTTTCTTTGGGGACTGAAAGAGGAATGAAACTATTGTTGTGGGTTTTTAAACCATTTGGATACTTTGTATTAACATCTGTCTCTTCTAATCTAGTCTTGCATTTATTTGTGTGTTTCAGCTTCTTTCAAAGATTCTGAAATGTAATGATTGTGAAATGATTGTTGTTGTTTTTCTTCTTTGGAAGCAAAAAAAGATGATGGAGTAACTTTTAAAATAGCATTATTTCATTTTTCTTTTTGAAATCGTAACCCTGCCTCTTATGCAGCTCTTGCTAGATGTTTTAGCTAGGACACAAGCGAGTGATGAACTGAAGTAGGAATTCTGTATGTTGATTGCCCAATAAACACAAAGATATTTCAAAGTATTAGTCAGGGATTATAATAATAATAAAAAGCTAATGCAAAATTTTGTCACTGAGAGATGTAAAACTACTGGGTTTTTCCCTGCAAAGTGCACATTAATTCTACTTTCTTTTCCCCACAGTACTATAAAAACGAAGATTTGGCACTAAAAGCTAATAATAGACCTCTAGTAAATTAAAAAAGAAACCAGAAAAAACCTCAGCGAGCTACTGGTTACACAGCACAAACTCTAGTTAAAATCTGGACTGAAGTTTTCAGTATACCATACTAACTTATAAATGTCTAAACTTTTCTAATATATTGTAATGTTTTTACACCCACCCACTTGTCAAAGTTATTTCTAATGTAAAAATCTCTTTTTATGAGTCTGTGGCATACCTGGAGGTGGCTTCTTTAGTCTGATAGAAGCTGTGCAATCTAAACTGGTTTTGTAAATCCTTAAACTTTGCAAATCCTGAGAGGTTGAAGCTTCTTTGTTGCCCCTTACCAGGGTTTGGTCCAGGTTTGTAATGGACTGCAAGTCTTTAGCAGCCCATGCCTGAGATGGGCTGTCAGTTCTCAGCCCGGTGGGTAGGCACTGAATCCCTGCAGTCGAGTAGAAGCCGAGTTAAAAGTAAACCTAGATAGGTTGCTCTTCTTAAAGGGGAGTAGGCAGTGGATTGGCAAGTGAGGCTTTGTGTGCCAGCAGGCTGGAAAGGAGGTGTTGCTGAAGATGAAGAAAAGATGAAAATGGTAAAATGTTCTTAAGAAGAGATGCACTAGGAAGTGGTCTGGGGACTGTGCTCTTTCAAATTATGAAGAATTTAGCGTTTGTTTTCGCTAAGGTTTTGAGTTGATCTGGAACAGATTTTCACCTTGAAGCACTGAAACCATTGTTCCCTGTCTTTATGGTGTTCTAGTATGGACTGCTGCTTACTGCTGCCCATGTTGATGGCTAGCATGTGGGCAGAGCCCTTTGCAGAGGCGTTCTTTGCTTATTTCTGGATGCCAGGCAGAAAGTCAGAAGCAGCTCATTGTGGGGTTTGTGCTTAGACTTCAAGGTCTGCATGCCTGAGTATATTGAAGAAAGGCTTGTCAGGCTTTGACTTAGCTTGGTTCTGTTGATATTTCTGCAGAAAGCAGTTTGAGGGTTAACTCGCCCAAGTTGTTTTAATTAAGGTAACAATAAGGAATAGGACAACAATAAGGAAGTGGCTGGCTAGAAATAAAGCGCTTTTGTAGAGTACTGTGAGCCAAACTCAGGAAGTCTCACTGAAGGGGTTTTATAGTCCTAGGCTAAAAGTTTTGATCCCGTTTTCTTTATTCATTGAGAGTGTGTTGAACTGTGTTTTATTTAGGACAAAATGTTTGTTTGTGGGTTGTTGTTTTGGTTTGGTTTTTACCTGCCAACAAAATTTGCTGTTGTTACCTCTTTGTGTTGTGAGATGGTTTTGAGTAATGTTGTTACCTATCAGTTTATCCACCACATAGTGGTGGTGAACTACATGGCTGTAGTACTCTCAAAGTGATTGTAATGACATTTCTGTTGGAACTGTGGAAGTTCTGTGTGGTATTTAACTATGCTGTTTCTTGCATGGCATAAAACTAAGAAACAACAAGATTTGTTTCTCTCTGGCTAATTCTCTACTTATCTTACTTAATTTAATAAAGCAAAGTACTCCCACCTTGAAAGAGTTAAGGATTTTCAGCCTTCAAATTCCCATATCATAGGTAACATTGTTACTTTCCTGGGGCAACAGTGTTCATTAAATCGTGGAAAACATTGGTTTTGTGTCTAAGGTATATTTGGATTTATGTAAAGAAACAGCAACATGCATGGGAACAGCACAGGGCAGGGTAATAGGACAAGTAAAAGTAGAGGGAAGTTTGTGTTGGGCACTGCTGTATTTTTTGCATGATTAATATTATGAAGTAGATTTTCTTAGTTCAGCAAACAAGGTGAATAAGTTGTCATGTGCAGAATAGAGCAATACATTATTTGCGTTGATATTCCCTATAGATTTTTTTTCTCTTGAAGTGCAGATATTTAAAAGAAACCATTTGATCTTTATACTTTCTAAAAAAAATATTTCAGAGGTTATCCCAGTTTCTTAGGAGAGGGGATATATTTTATATTTGGCCGAATCCAGGTATGAAAACCTCAACCATATACTTACTTTTTGGCTGAGTGAATGGGGAATTTAATTTTTAAACTGGTTTTTGTCCTGGATAGTGGTGTCTACAGCATTAGTACCATAGTAGCCTGACACATGCTTTAGAGTCGTCACAGCTTTGTTCATCTCCCGAGTTTCATTATTGGATTTGAAGCACCTCTGACAGTTCTGTTTTCCATGTACTGGATGATCTTTAAGGTCCCTTCCAACCCAAACCATTCTATTATTCTACATTTCAGTGTTCCCAAGTTGCATGGCTTTAACCACCTTTCAACTTTTATGGCAGATCAGTGACAAGTACTTGTAGAAAGTGACTTTCTTTGTATGGTGGACTGAAAATGGTAACCTTGTTACAAGTGTAAATTTACAAATTACTCTTAAATAATGCTTCAGTGAAGAAAATGGTACATGCCAGTATTTAGTCCCTCCTACAGGTCTGTCGAGTTTTTGAATATACTGGGTGTTAAACAGCCAGAAATCTTCAATGTTTTCAGTTCCTTTTCCCACTGATATCCTGCAGTCCTACTTTTCTAGAAAATATGTTCCAGATTTTCCCTCGTATTTTTAGTTTCTTTAATGAAATCCAGCCTTTCTCTTCAAAGTTACAGAAATTGGAAGGAAATTTGCCTGTAAGAGTACTTTGCTATCAAATGGTCATTTTTAATAAATAAAAAACCTCGGGGTTCGGTTGCCGATGTTTGAAGTGGGGCAGGTA